GGCAAAGCAGGGCTCAAGCAAGCAAGTCCCTCCTGTTAGAGGAGGACAAGACCTAACCACCACGTTGTCCCCAGTACCAAGTGATCCCAGATACTTCACTTTCATCTCCTGAGGAAACAGCATGCAAAAGGTTGTGTGCTTTTGATGCAGGTGGTATATTTTAAAAATGAATGGCGTCTGAATGCAGGACTTTCCAGAGCTCCCAATTGAGCCAGGCCTTCCCAGCTTCCCAGGAGCCACACGAAGCACCAGCAGGGACCTGTCACTAGCACCAATGCATTTTCCTGGGGCAGAAAGCACATCACTGGGGCCTTCCCAGAATTACAAGCACACCACGATTCTTGTAGGTCAATTTATTTTCAGAAGACAGACAATGAGAACTTGGAATATCTTTTGGTTCTAACAAGGGTTTTTGTTTTTTAATAAAGAAAAATAGGGGGGTTCCTTGATTTTCTTCACAGAATGAATGTATTTTTACAAAAGAAATGTTTTGGTTACATGCATGCCTACTTTGGAAAAGCTTTTGTCCTTGATAGCTTTTAAAACCTGTTTTTAGACACTGGGCCATGTAGCATGGTTTATGAACCAGCTGATTTCTCCTCCATGATTTCTGCCAGGTGACCTCTTTCCTTTTTCAATCTCCTGCTTACAGAAAGCAACTGCTATCAGAATAGGGGGACTCAAAAAACCATCAGCAGGACAGCCTCAAAGAATACAGCCTGGGAGAGTGGGCTGGACAGGTGTGTGACCTCAAGGGACAGTAGTGCCTGGTGGTCCTAGTTTCCCCTTGGAGAAATCTGTGCAGACTGGAAACAAAGAAACAGGAGGCAAAGAGTCACTTTCTCTTATATTGTGGATATTTTATCCCTCTCTTTCACAGCAGCAGTTTTAATCAACAAGTATGATGCCTGTAGCATTTCACCTAGAAAAGCCCACCATACAAGAGCCACACGCGCTCGGGCTGGCTCACACTGCCCATGTACAGAGATTCTTGCATAGCATGACAAACACAGCCAGTCCTGTGGGACACAGGCCTTTCAAGTCTGAGTTAGTGCCCCCCACCCCCAACAAGCTTCTATAGACCAAAAATACCTCTGTCCTCCACCACATAAAGCTTGTGAGTAGCAAAACTTGTAAAAATGAAGTGTACAAAAGGAAACATTCATATAATACATTTGCACCCTGTATACAATGTATCCTTATGAAACTGGCCAACAGTCGGGTATGGCAAATTTTCAAGAATAGAAAATAGAACCCCAAGCAGCTGTCACGTGCACGCAAGTCAATGGTTTGTGTGGGTTTTCCAGAGAGAGAGATTTTCATTAACAGTTACAGTACTTGCTGGCATCTTTATGATTAAGAAGCCAGATGAGTTTCCTGGCATTTAGGCAAGTAACATTTGATTGTCACAATGTACAATTCTGAGACAATAAATACAAGTAGATCAGATGCATTTCTTCATTGTATCAAGTAACTCCAGTTTAATACAATTTAGTGCATTTCAGTATCTCATTCACAGTTCAACTTCTGTCTAAATACTTTTGCAACAACAACAAAAAAACTGAAAAGTTAATGAGAAAACTCCAGGTGACCTTGTCATTACAGAGCTTAACATTTTAAGACAATTCAATGATTTTTGAAAAGCAAACGCTGCTGTTGCCTGGGCTGACTGATGCCAATTCCTCTGGTAACTTCCTGGGCTCCCTAAAAGTGTTCTTGCCATTTTACTTCCCGAGCAGTTTGTGAGAATGCCACCATTTTCCCTGAATTAACAAGCAGCGAGTATTTGTAGTAAAACTTAATTCATGTGCCCACCCACTCAACAGATCACAGTGCAACATATTTTACCCAAAAATTGTCCATGTGTTTTTGCATCCTGGCCCCAATTTGCAAGAGTACAGAACCTGAATGTCCGTGTTGGCCAGGACAAACCCGCAGCTGGGTTACCCATAACCCAGAGTCATGTCGGTGGTGTGGCCGGCCCCACCTGCTGGCCCGAGGGGCTGGGGGCGGCTTGCCTTTGGTTTGGGGGCTGGCTCACTGAAGAGAGGGCAGGTTCATGGGCCAGGGGGACGTGCCATTTCCAGAGAGAAGGCAGGCAGGCATTTCAGGCTCGCTGTTTTAACCCTGAGCCTAGTCACACTGCAGAAGGGGCAGAAGCGCATGGCACCTTCGCATGCCGGGACTGCATGCTGCGAGCCACTGGTGAGACGTCTGCAGTGCGAGTGGACGCGTGAAGTTGAACAATTCAGATGAAAATCAGCAGGGCTGAAAAGATTATACTTGGCTTGTCCTATAAGTGTCTTGGGCAGAGACAAAGCATGCAGAAAAAGTGACTTATTCTTCACCCTGATCAGATACTAGTTAGTAACCATGACGGCATGAATGGCCCCACACTATCTCTTGAATTGCACATGGCGTACACCTGGCTGGGTCCAACCCCTGCTTTCCTTTCAATCAACTTCAATGCTCAGTAGTACCTCAACAAAATTAGCATAGAGAGAGATTCTCATGGGGCACAAAGGGGAGTAATGGGACAAACACGGAAGAGATTCAAAACTGACCCACAATAGTACCCGCATTATTCTTTTTTTTTTTTAAATAAGAAAGTGCTGCTTCCATTGTTGTGTTCCTATTATTGTTTATATATTCAGAGCTCATCTCTTCCACCGGACTCTGTACTTCTTGAGGGAAGAGAACTTAAAGAATCTCAGTCAGGGCTGTGCATCTGGTATGCTGCCACCAAGTACCTGACAATCAGTGTTATTTCTCTGGGTTAAAGGTCTTCTCAACAAATAGCCATCTCAAGACCTCCTCAAGACCTTAGTCTGGAGAAAGATATAGTATTGCCAAATCCATGAAGGACTTTCCCTCTGGCCAGCCACAACTTTCCCCAGCACCTACCCATGTGCACTCAATGGAGATGGTCACTGCTTACCATGCTGAGACCCCAAAGAGAAAAAGCCAGAAAGTCCCTAGATGCTGGTAGCTCCATAAAGGCACTGTGAAATGCCACAGACATCTTAGAAACTTCTAGAACTCTCCAGAGCAGGGGCAAAAGAACTGACCCTCTCCCCAGTTTGACATAGTATTAGTGATGTCTGCTCGTGCTCTGGCTCTGGGCAGGGCTTGAAACCCAAACTATTTTCATGGGACCCAGCCAGAACACGTGTGGGAAGAGCCCTTGGGAAGGCAAGCAGGAGACCCTACAGCACCTGGTGCCTGGGCCTGAGCTGAGACACATGTCGGCCGGTGGTCCCAAGTGACCAAGGCTGGGAGCTCAGCCTAACAGGTGTCCATGGGAGGGCAGGGCCTCTGCACTGCGAGCCTCTGGTGGGAGGCCTGGCTCTGCAGGGGCCATGGAGTAACAGGCCAGCAACACCCTTCCTGTGCTCAGCCTGGTCTGAGGACCCAGCATAAAGGGCACCAGAGACTCCAGGCTGAGGGTGTCCTTACCCCAACCGTGACCAGCACGGACTGAGGGCTACAGAGTTGCTTCAGCCTGAACATTCAGCCTGAGCACCAGCCATGAAGGAAGCTCGGTAGTAGGGTGTCAAGGAAAAAGAAAAAATACTATTCTGTGATTTATTAACTTAATTAAAGAAATTAAAGGAGCTCTCTTCCCCCTTTCCTTCTCAAGTGGATGAAAAGCAAAATCCACCCCCCTCCAAAAACAAAACAAAACAAAAAAACCCCAGAACATTCGTGGTGTAGTTTTTATTGCTCTCAGAGGCTTGGTATTCAGATGCACAAGCTAAGCTGTGATCAGGAGTCAGGTGAGGTCCACACCCCTCGCCCATGGCTCCATCCCCACCTAACCCGGGAGCCTGGCAGCTCCTCCCAATTCAGAGCAGACTTTACACGGCATATATTAATTTCAAAGGGAGGGAACTTCTCTGGGAAACAAGAACTATTCATTAAATGGCAGAAGGCCTAAATTTGCATCTTCCGGGTCATGTGTGTGCATGGTAGTACCCTTCAGCTTTTTTCCTTTAAGATTTTCAGATGTTAGTGAGTGAGTTAGTGAGTGATGTGGATCTAAAACACACATAGAGACAGATGAGCAGCATATTGTGTGAGGAAAAAACAGAAGGCTCTCCAGTGGGGACTGGCTCGGGGGAGGGCATGCCTGCCTGCAGCCAGGGGACTGGGCAGGGCAGGAGGACATGCACTGTCAAACAGGGGAAGGCGCCCTGCTATAGTAAGTGCTCTCAGGTGGGTTTCGCTGGTCCTGGGTGGCTGCCCCTTCCTCTCCTCAATGGGCTGTGTTCATCCCACCGCCAGGGGCAGGCACACACCAGGATGGCTTTCTGCATACCCTGTGCATGGCACCCAAATGCCAGACACAGAGCCAGCAGCATCCTTGGTACAAAAAGCCTGCACCATTTGGACAAAGCCTCCCCAGACACTCAGGGCTGATGCAAATTGTGTTCTTGCTACTTTGCTTCATGCTTCTTTCTTCTATTTTTTTTTCTAGAAAACTCAACCTACCTCTAGTCAGAATGCTAGTTACGATATATCAGTGATAACACCCATTTTTTTTCTTTTCCCTTTCTAAAAAAGATAAGGGGAATGTGACGCAAAACAAGCAAGTTGAAAGTTAAAGAAAAAGTCAAATACAGGTGGGCTGATAGTGTCATGACCTAGCTGGGCCAAGGAGGGGACTGGGCCTCACAGGGACCAGAAAAGCTAGTCCTACTACTGCAATCGGCCCAGCGACCACTACCCAGGGCCAAGCTGGGCATCACATGTGCTGTGGGAGGAACACCTCCCACAGGGCAGAGGGCCAGAGGGACTGTGGCAGGTATGAGGAAGACAGCAGGCTGGGCACTGCCCTCTTCTCTGTCAGGACACTGGAGACGTCATGGAGGTGGAAAGCTGGGGGGATGGTGGCCAGACCACGATGACACCTGCCTGAACAGAGGCAGGCCCTCCCCAGGGACACAGTGCACGGCTGGGGAAGTGGGAGATGCCCCATCTTTAGCTTCCAGCAGGAAGCCAAGAACCATCAAGAGATCAGCTAGTAAAATAAAATCTCTAAAAGCCAATGAGCTCAGTGTTAACAGTCTCCAGTGACCTTTGAGAGAGAGGTTTGATGGTGCTGTCACTTCTTAGAAAGCATCCTAGAGAGTCCTGTAGGCTGCCCAGCCTCCCTCCTGGGCTCCTGATCTGCTGGGGGGAAGGGTGGTGGACCCGTGTGGCTTCCCTCCCAGCACCCAGTGCTGAGGGACTGGAGTCTGACAGCCACAAGAGGGACAGAGGAGCTTTAGGGACACAGAGAACTCTACATCTCACCGAGTCCTCAGGGGTCCATTTGCTTTAAAAACAGATGCAAGGTATTTACACACAGAGTTAATGGGAATGAGGGCAAAGAGTGCTCTAGAAAATAGAAGGGGGCCTTCACCTTCAGCCAGCCCCAGTAGAGGGCAGAGTGATCCATCAGATCTGCCATGAATCCACCTGGCTTACATTCAGTGTGTGCTTATCACTAGGAGAAGGCTCTCCACGGTGCCCCCGCTCCCTCTAGAAGCCAAGGTGCGGAGCCAAGCAGAGCGGCTGTGCGAGCTCCCTGGGGGGCTGGGACCTGGCAGTAGGTTCCCAGGGGGACAGCAGAAATTCATCAAGGGAGTTTTTTGAGGGTGCAGGGGAAGAGGGGAGGGGCCAGGTTAAGTTCCCAAAATAACTGATAAATAAAAATCTCAATCTAAGTTTAAGGAGAGAAAGCAGCCGAAGGCTCCTTCTTGGAAGTGGAATTCTCGAGGAGGGCATCTGCGTGCGACAGGCTCACCCAGGACCCGTCTGCATCAGCGCGCGCCCCTTGGGGACGGGCTGGGACCCTGGTGGCCGGAAGCGGACCGTCTTCGTCTGGCAGGCCTTCTGAGTTCTTTTCTCTTGGCTCAAGTTTTATTTGTTAATATTAGTCACCAGTTAATAAGAAAAATAGTTTCTAAGTGTCTTTTTTTCCTCCGCTCTGTGTGTGTTGTTCTGTTTTTAATTGAGTTAATTGGATATCACCGTCAGGTTATGTGTGTTCAATCACAGCCATGAGTTATTCCTTTTTCTTAACTTCTTGGTTCCCGTAGCTGGAGCCTTTTTCTATTTCAGTTACTCCTATCAGTCTGCGAACTCCAAAGGAAGCTTTAAAAATGAGAGGAAGAGAGACAAGATTATCACTCCTGATCTGCTGGAGGTTATAAAAACTGGCTTTGGGGGCTTCCTTTCTCAGGTCTCAGCCAACCCTGTCCCACCTGTCTCGTGGCCTCTGCTCCCTCACTGAGCTGGGGACAGGTGTGGGGGGGCACAGCTCTCAGGGCTGTGGTCTTCTCTGGTGAGGGAGAGGGCTGCAGTGCATGTGGTTACATTCTCTGACCAGCTGGGTCAAAGGCAGCAGGACATGTGACACTTGCCCTGCCTCCTGGCTCTGGCTCCCTGACTGGAGTGAGTAGCAGGCTTCAGAACACTGACAGAGAGGCCTCACAAAACCCCAGTAAGTGCCTGAGATGGCCATATCCTGTCCTTCGTGGGTGACACCAAGTCACCATGTTGTCCAATGAGAGAGGATGATGACAATCACTGCCTTTTGGGACCCTCCCCCCAGGCTCCTGGCAGGGGGTGCAGGAACAAGTTGGGAGCTGACATTGCTGCAACTCACCAGGGAGTCAGCTGGCTGGGTAACATGGACAATATTTCCAGCTAAAGAACCCCCTCAATTTGCAGGGAATGGGTGGGCATCCGTGTTCACAGCAGATGTGTTCTGGGCATTTGTCTATACCAGGCTAGCTGAGGAGTCCTTGCAGGTGCCTGGCAGTATGCTCGGGCCAGACACACAGGGAGGGGGAAGTCACTAAGGGTCAACAGGTGGGTGCTAGATAATCAAAGTATCCTGGTTACTCCTTCCGAGCTGCCAGCCCAGTCCATCCCTCTAAAAGCCCAGATGCAGACAGGGGCACCTAGGACCCTCTCAACCTCAACAAGTGTCTTCACCAGGGACTGATGGCTGGGCCGCAGTGCAAGGATGGGTGGCCCTTCAACTCTGAGGTGATGGTCCTGCCACTTAATGGCAAGACACCAGCTCCGAGGCCCACAAGGCTCAGGGTGGATCCCAGCTCCCCTGAGGTCCATGACTGCCAAGCCACTACCTTATAGGGCCACCACCATGATGAGTTGTGCAGTCCTGGGCACCGGGGCCGACATCATGAGGCCCCCCAAGCTGCATGCTGTTAGTGGGAGTTTCCATTACCTGCTCCCACAAACCCTAAGAACATCAGGATCAGGAGGGGGGATCCACTTGCAAAGACACCCAAGACAAAACTGAAGAGAGGGGAGAGGAGAAGCGTGGCCCAAAAGAGGAAGTTCAGGAGGGTCCATGGCCTCCTGGCAGGCTTAAATTGCTCCCCTGGAAACACGCCCTTCTGGTTGTACATGTCCTGCAGTGCATCCTGAAAGAGAACAAAGAACAGGGAAGGGTCAGGTTTCCTCACATGCTGCTCTTTTGATGCAGGAGAAATTGTCAGTAATGAAAATATCTCAGCCTAAAAAAAATGCCACAGGTGAACAAATCACATAATCTGCAGGCAAGCAGTGAAACTGGCTTTATCTTTCTGGAGACTCTTTGGTAGCTTGTGTCCAAAGTTTGCGAACACATCAACCCTTTCCCAGAAGTCTCCCATGAAAATAATCAGTCAAGAGAGCATCGTTGTGAATATAGAGACTGTCCCTGGCATGTGCCTGCCTGGGGTGGCTTACGTCATTCACATCCCACACCTCTCACAAGCAACAGGCAGTAGGGGCATCAGGTATGATGCGTGCGGGAGTCCCGTGGCCTGGGCATCACCCACACTCAGCTGCACTGCCCACAGAAAGTTCTGGAACCTCTCGTTCCTGTTTCCTGGTCTGGCAAAGAAGGTTTATGGGGTAGGGTGGAGGGGGGAGAGGGGCCAGGAGAAGATGCTGTGGAGGGTGTCCAAGGTCATTCCAGCAGTGGTCCTCCTAAACATTTTCCCCAGTGGAAACATTGAGAGTTCGGGGGCTGAGAAACTAGTGCCTAATGGGCCAGAATTCTCTGCAGCCATTACACATGGTACGAAGTAACAAGCAAATACATTCAGGGTATTTTAAGTTTTTGCTGGGTTTTTTTTGAGTTGGAGTTTCACTCTGTCGCTCAGGCTGGAGTGCAGTGGCACGCTCATAGCCACCGCAGCCTTGACCTGCTGGGCCTAGACGATTCTTCTGTTTCAGCCTTCCAAGTAGCTGTAACTACAGGTGCATGCCACCATGCTTGGCTAATTTTTGTGAGTTATTGTAGAGACGAGGTCTCACCAAGTTACCTAGGCTAGTCTTGAACCCCCAGGCTCAGGCAATCCTCTCGCCTCAGCGTCCCAAAGTGCTGGGATTGTATTTTAAGTTTTTTGACAGAAGAGGTTAAAGTACCATTCAACTCCACTTACATTTAAAAATATATATGACTGCATACATGTGTATAGTCCCAAGTATGGACAGAATCACAATATGTTGTTAATAGGTGGAGTGGAACATTTTCTGTCTTATTTTATGCAGTTGTGTTTTGTATTCTATAAACAGTCCATCCCATAGCCTCATCCAACCTACTGTAGACATCAGCGGCCCTGACCATTCACATGCACACAAGAGTAGACGCTGGCAAGGCCCTTGTGGCCAGGAGCATCTGTGGCCTCACGTCTGCAGCACTCCTTGCTAGGAATGAGAAGCAAGCTGATGTCCACAGACAGAAAAGTGAGTAACTAAAATGGGCATCAGCATGTGGAGGAATAGCACACAGCATTTAAAAGGCATGAATCAAATCTATTGACGTCAGTGTGGACAGATCTCAAAAACAATGGCGACTAAGGAAAAAAGATGAGAATGCTACATAAAATATGATATCCTTTATGTAAATTTAAAAACAAGGGCACAAAAAACCATTGAAAATGTTACCTTATGTTTCAGTAATATGTAAAATTATATATTTTCATATTATGTAAAATTGTATATTCTATATATATGCTATAATTATGTCTATATATTATATATATGCAATATGCACAATTAATATAATAGTAAACATAATGTAAAAAAATCCATGTAAATCAGTTTTGTTAAAACTTGTTATTTGCTGCACTTTGCTTCAGATTATTCTAGAAAGCAAGCTATTACAAATGGAGATGAGGTCTTGCTCCTCTCATCTCCAGAGTCTTTCTCCTCTTGATTCAGTGATTCCCATCCCTAAGCATGGATTTTTATTTGTACTATGTGTGTTGTGTACCTATAAGCAATAATAATACACAGCACTGCTTGTATGTGCTGTAATTTTCTGAAAATAGCACCATACCATATGCATTCTGCAATCTGCTCTTTTCACACATTATATTCTTGAGATTCAGTTATGTTGACCTTAGGTAGATCCAGTTCATTAATTTCAATTCTTTTATCCTATCAAATGAATATACATACACAATGTAACTATTTCCCAGTAGTAGACTTTCAGATTATTTCTAATTTCCTGCTAAGTACTGTTGCTTGAAAATGTAGGAGATTCAAACTTTTAAGATCTGACCCAGATTCAGAGATGAACTTTCCCTTTCAACCTAGTACATATTAGATCTATCTGTCTACACCAGGCACACACATTGTTATTTCCATTTTGTTTGGGTTTCCTTTCTTAAGAGAGTTATATTGTTCTAGGAAATCATGTATTTAATTCAAGTTTTCAAACTCATGGACATAAAGTTAGTCATACTACTCCCATATTATTTTTACTCTGCTCTTTTCATCTTCTTTGCTATTCCTATTACTTCTATCATTCTCTTTTAATTAAACAGTCTTACCCAAGGTTATCTGTTTTAATAATATTTTTAAAGAAAAAATTTTTGGTGTGGTGCAGTTGATTTGCTCTTCTATAGCCTCAATTTGTGTAAGTAATTTCTGCTATTGTTTTTATATTTTCTTTGCTCTGGGTTTCCCTGGGTTTACTCTATTGTGTATGCATATTTATGTATGTATTAAAATGAATGTGTATGTGTATACATATATGTATAATTATTAAGAGGATAAAATATATGTAAGAAATATAGAAAAGATCCTGATACATAGTAAGTGCTATAAATGTCTAAAGCCAATCTGTTTTGTGGGCAGCTTGTCTTTTCTCTCGGGTTATTCTAAGATCTTGCTGTTGTTTTTGTTGTTCCACAGTTTCATTACTACATGGAAGTAAATTTCTTTATATTTATCATATTCAGGACATGTACTTTTTGAACCTGATGAAAATCTATGTTTCATCAATTTTAGAAATTTTACAGCTATTATCTTTGACAATTGCTCTTAGCCATTTTCCCCTCCATCTGTACTACACTCCCAATGATTGCCTCAGAATCTTCCAGCTTACTAATTCTCTCTTTAGCTGTATTTAGTCTGCTATTTAATCATTTAATTAAGATTTTATCATCATCAATGACTTGATTCCCCATGCTTATAAGTTCTACTTGGTTTTTCTCAAAGCTTTATTACTTTTTCCCATAAGTCTTGTCTCTTGTTTTAAATTCTTTCTTATGTGCTTAATCATTTCAAATATACTCATTTTAGTCTTTGACCTGGTCAGACTTCTATATGATAGTTCTGTCAGTTGTATTTTGAAGGGTTTCATTTTTCTATTTGCAGTATCTGTTGTCCATAACAATAATGTATAGAGTTCGCATTTTTCTCCCCAAATGTTAGTATTTTGTTACAAGCTCATCTTCAGCTGAATTTAATCTGTAGGAACTTTGAGCAGCATAGGTTTGGCATTATATTCCTCCAGTTTTGCATTTGTTTCTCTTGAGAATTCTAGAGTGATTCATCTAAAACTAATTTTGTGTTGATATGTTGGCTTTGTGTTTCTTCTTCTTCTTATTTTATTTTTATTTTTTTTGAAGTCAGAGTCTCACTCTGTTGCCCAGGCTGGGGTGTAGTGGCTCACTCATGGCCACCCCAGCAGCGACCTGCTGGGCTCTGGTGATCCTTCCGCCTCAGCCTTCCACGTAGCCGGAATTACAGGCATGCACTACCATGCCCAGCTAATTTTTTGGTGTATTATAGAGTCGTGGTCTCACCAAGTTACCCATGGTGGTCTTGAAGTCCTGGGCTCAGGCAATCCTCTTGCCTTGGCCTCCCAAAGTGCTGGGATTACAGGCTTGAGCCACCACGCCCGGCCTTCTCTCTCTCTCTTTTTTTTTTTAGTCAGGGTCTCACTCTGCTACCTAGCCTGGAGTGCAGTAGAATGATCACAGCTATCACAGCTCACCACAGTCTCAACCTTCTGGGCTCAAGTGATCCTTATACCTCAACTTGCCAAGTAACTGGGACTATAGGCATGTGTGACCATGCCTGGCTAATTTTCTGATTTTTTTGTAAAGACAAGGTCTCTAACTCCTGGCCTCAAGCAATTCTCCTGCCTTGCCCTCCCAAAGTGCTGGGATTTCAGGCATAAACCACCATGCCCAGCTGGCTCTATGCTTCTTGAATGATGTTGTTGGCAAAAATTCAAATCTCAAGCCTGTTTGAGGGCAGGCCTGTAATTATGAATCCCCTGGGCAGACTTTTTTGAGCCCAAGAGGAAAAAGGCAAGTTTCCAGGTCATTTTCCTGTGCTGGTAGGTAACCTTTCTGAAGGTCAGTTTAATCTTTTTCAGTTTAACCTTTCTGAAGGTCAAACTTTTAGAGGGTCTCAGCTTCATGTGGGGTTTTCAGTTCTAACCTCCTGCCTCGAATGGGGTCAAATCCTAATCTTCTGTTTCCACGTAGGCACACAAACTCAATTATTTAGGTGGTGGGGGCAGGAAATGCCACAAGTGTAGGACAGCATTGTTGGCTCACAGGCTTATCACTTTGTTTTTTAGTTCCACCTTCCTTTTCAGGCCCTGGAAATTTCCCTTATTTTCTCAAGAGCTCATCAATGCATTTAAAAGGATATTTGATATATACTGGAAGCATTTTCTGGTTATTCACTCTCCCACAATGCTAAAAATGAAAATCTAATGTCCTTTGCATTTGTGTACATAAAAGTAAACTGAAAGTGGGTTATGGGGTAGGGCTTGCCAAGGGGGAATGGGAATAGGACAGAGTGTGCTTTTCAAAAGAACCTTTTAACATTATCTAATGTGTATTGATTATATAAGCAGTCTATTTTATATCTATAACAAGTTGGTTACATATCTGTAATTTCTTTCACATAAGAAAATGAAACAAATGTGATGAAATGTTATCAACCATGGTTATACGAGCATTTGTTATCCTTCATAATTTTTTTTAGTTTGTTAACTTCTTGAAAATTAAGGAGAAGGGAAAAGAAAAGGCTCAGAAGTATCTGAGCACTGCACAGATTTCCATCTCCAGAGAAGAACCATGTGTCTCCTGTCTGCCCTTCAAGACCTCCCTTCAGGAGACTTGAACCCCACAGGCAAAGCTGAGCACTTTTACCTTCTCCTGGTATAGTTTATGAAGCCATTGAGCTGCTTCCTTCTCATCCAGTGGGATCTCTTCCAGAGGAAATCTCCTGTTTTATCAAGAAGATTAAAAGCAAAGTGAACTACCAGATGACATCAAACTAAAAAGGAAAACACACATCGTCAAGCACCGGGGTTGCCTGGGGTCCTGCTTTTTCTACCAAATCTCTCTTAGTTTCTAAAAACAAACATCACAGTAATTTCTCCTTGGGTATTCACTCTGAGTACATTGGAACCAGCCAGGCCAAGTGTCAGGGAGGGGCTGAGAGGTGCCTTTCTGTGCAGGGACGGCTAAAGCATCTCACAACAGGGGTACCTGCAAGCAATTTAACTGGTTACATCACACCTCCAGTTCCACTGTGAGGGGGCATCATGCACAGGCTTCTGAAGTAGTTTGGTTTTTGTGAATATGTTCATTCTTTGGAAATAACCATAACTGAGAGTGTCATTCATTAGGCAAAGAAGATTATGTACTTCACAAATGAAATCCACTTGCTTCAGATATGAAAAGTATTAAAAATTTAGGAACTTTAATCTCAATTAACAAAACAGGACACTAGCTGATTTATATTCCTAATCCAGTAACTGGATTGACAGCTCTGTGGCTGACTGTCCACTCGGTCAGATAAGCAGGGTAATGGCCTGACAACTATAATAAGAACATTTTTAATAAGTGACATTTTACAGCTCCTACTTTGAAAGTAAGTTGGATATGAATGAGAAGAGGGCATAAGTCATTCATATATGTTAAGCTGAAACCTTTTAAAATCTCTCAAATGTTAATAAGCACAATGTTTGCCAGCTGGGAGTACAGCAACAATTCTGAAGAAGTAGAGAACGAGCGTCTGTGAAGAGAGCCCAGGAATGGCCTCGTCAACATGCCTGTCATCAAGGCACATGGCAGATCATCAGTGGACATGATCTCTGTTCACCAACACCCAGCTCTCTTTCTCCTTCTGGGCACTTCAAAAAGGCACACCTCCCTGCCTCCTGGAAGTCAGCGTGCAGACGTAACACATCTCTTCCAGGAAGGAGTATGCTAGCTGCTAGTACTCAGCTTTCTGCCCCACTTTTTTTCTGCTGAAGCTGTTTAAGGAGGGAAAGCCCAGACACCCTGAAAGTCATCCAAGCTCATCTTAGTGTCGTAAGAATGTGCTGTGTGTCCCTGCAGTACTGAAAATGCCCAGGAGGGGGCAGATGACACAAAGCAGAGTAAGAGTGGTGGGCCGGGCAGGGGGCTTGCCCTGTCACCACCAGGGTCTGGCTGCCAGCACCCCAACCCTGCCCCAGGGGCCTACAGTGGCTTCTTCAGGGAGAAAAGCCAGGTGGAGCTTCTGCAGCCAGAGGCAAATGTCTACTTTAAGGAAGCATCTCAGACTTTAAAGTACTGAGCACCCGGAAGCTGTGGTTTATAGGGGTTCTACCTGTGGAACTTCACCCAGCAGAAATGAAGTGGAGATTCTGTAGGACACAAGTACACGCTGGTACATGCCAACAGAAACATGCACACGCCAGCACATGGCAACACACACTAGCACATGTCAGCACATACCAGCACATACCAACACACAGCCACACATGTCAGTACACACCAGCCAGGCACAACAGTACATGCCAACATATAGCATCACACACCAGCACATACCAGCACACAGCATCACCTGCCAGCACACACCAGTACACACCAGCTCATCAGTACATACCAGCAAATGCCAGCACAAGCAAGCACACAACAGTTTATGCCAGCACATGCCAGAACAGCATATGCCAGCATAGCACAGCCTCTGTCAGGCTCCACTGCACACTCAGGAGACGACAGCAGTGAAGATGGTGAATCATGTCCTGGGAAACAAAAAACGTTCATCTCTGGGCCCCCAAGTTCACCTGGTGTTGAAGGATTTGCCAGACACCACGTTAGTGGGGAGCCGGCTTGGAGGTGGTCTCTGTCTACAGCGTGGCAACACTGGGAGGACAGACTTGCCACCTGTTCTCCCCTGATACACACACACACACACACACACACACACACACACACACACACACACTACACCACACCACACCACACACACAGATGATTTATATGCACACACACCACACCACACACACAATTTATATGCACACATACGTAATTTATATTCACACACCACATCATACATCACCACACACATACACACACACGCTACACCACACCACACACACAGTGATTTATATGCACACACACCACATCACACATTACACCACACACGATTTATACACCCACACACAATACATACCACACCACAAACACAGATGATTAATATACACATATCACACCACACACACAATTTATATGCATAAAACACACAGATGGTTTATATGCACACATACCACAGATACACATCACACAGATAATTTATATGTACACACACCACACACACAGGTAATTTATATGCATGCATACAACACATAACACACACATCCACACCACCCACACATTTTATACACACACTACACCACACACATATAATTTATACATACACACTACACTATAGATACTATGCATACGGAGCACACACAAACCACATGCATACTATACCACACACACACCACACATTATACCACACACATACAGTGCACACACACATATATAATTTATACACACACACACCCCACATACAAACACACCATGCATACACATATATATACCATGCACACACACACCCTACATACAAGTTTTAGTCTGCTTATTATATACATTATGAAATATATGAAAATAAGAATTAAAAATAAGATAAAAGGTGAAAATAGATTCCATTTTTTTTGTACTCCAGGGGGTCACCCCAGCACCCACCTCCCGGAGCTAACCTGAAACACCGGAAGGACCTCAGCCCCCAGGACCTGCCTTGAGAACAGGAGAGCCCAGGAGACCATTCCAAACCCCGCAACCCTGCCCAGCCACAGGCCTCAGGCATCCCTGCCATGTAGAGAGAGAAGGGGGCAAACCCTCAGCAGCTCAGTCCCTTGGTGCGTGTGACCACAAGGCTGCAAAACACGCAAGCAGCAAGTAACTGAACGGCAGGCACTTTTAGAAGCTCAAAGAATACATCTATTAAAATACGATGGGACAAAATACGGCCCAACACAGGGAAGGGAGCAGATGAGGGAGTCCTTTTTGTGGCTGGAGCCACGGCCACTGGGAGGCACATGAGCCTGGTGGGCAGCTCTTCACTGAACCGCCCACACAGCTGTTCCTGCCCACTAGTCTAGACCTTGGGCAGCCACTCAGACCATCTAAGTCTCAGCCACCGCTACCACCTGAGGACAAGTGCTAGTGGTGCCTCAGCAGCTCCTCTCATGACGATGGCTGAGACCAGCAAGGCCAGGGTCAGCACGGGGCCCCTGGCTGCCATTACAGTCCCTTTCCATTTCTTATCCTGGCCTGCCAGCTGGACCGTCCATGGCCGAGGTTGGTCACTGTGGACCCCACCATCGACAACACATCAGACCCCCACCAGGGTTTTAGAGAGACAGGGGACAGGACCCTGGGCTCACTGCCTGCTCATCCCCAGCTGGAGGAAGAGCCGCACCTCCAGACAATCCCTCACACCTTCACACAGGAAACAGTCACCTCATGTGTTATTCCTGGAAACTTACTAGAGTGTGGCCAACTGGGTGGTATTTTTTTTTAACGTATACAGGCTCAAGTTCACAAGACTGAAATACAGAGGGCCCTTGAGGGTGGGACCGACCAATGTGCACCCAAGGTGGGGTGACTGGACTGCAAACACGGGAAGGAACACAATGACGGCTCTGCACAATCTTATCCACACACCAAGGACAGTCCTGCCTTAATGTACACACATGAACAAACAGGAGACCACCAGCTCAACTAGTGCCATCCAGCACCCAACTTCGCTCATGCACATCAGAGGAAGCCCAGAGAGCCTGCCCAAAATCATGCCCCAAGCTGGACTCTGCCTCAGATCCAGAGTGTTCTAAGGTAAAAATACTTTGGGATAGTTTTTCTTAACTTCATGAGCCAAAGACACTGGGAGAGTCAAAGAGCCGCAGGGAAATGGGCAGCTGTGTTTAGATGCGGCTCTCCTGGCCAGGGTGACCCTGACATGCATGGAAAGAGGGAGGGGCTGCTCTCAGGACCATCTTGGCCAGGGTCACCTCGACATGTGTGGAAAGAGGGAGGGGCTGCTTGGCGAGGTCTCCGATGCTCTCCAGAACAAACCTCAGCTCTATGAAGGGAGATTTGAATGCTTACCATTTTATTTCATGGGGACGGGACTGGGGGCTCCTGGCACTGAAGCCTCCACACTCAAGACGCAGTTTAAAGCAGGCTCTTCCCCTCCTGGGACCACTGCTTCCTTTCAGACATTTCAGGGCTGGACCACCAGGTCCCACAAACAGCCACACAGAGGAAATAGCGTCTTACAGCCAGAGGCTGGCAGGAGGCTCCATGCGCTCCATGTGGCTCACCCCGCAGGAGACATGGGTCTCATCCTTTGGGTGTCCTCCCAGGTCGTGTGACTACAGGCCCCAGTAAAGCTATGGAACCTAGTGGGGTTTGAGACCAGGCCAGGAGAGGGAACAGAGTTTTCAGAGTGAATACAGGAGCTTCCCAAGAAGGCAGGACAGGGATGGCTCCTAGCTGGCCCTGAAATCTCCCCAAAGGAACAAGACACACAATGGGGGCCATAAGTCTCCTCATGTCTCAGGGTCCTCTCAGTGGCCTAAGGGCTGGACAAGTCACAGGGAAGGAGTTCAGACAGGTTTTCTGTGTGGGCTTTACCCAACAGGGGCTGGGACACAGGGCCTTGGCCCAGCCAGTTCCCTAGACCTCTGCCCCAGCCCAAGCTATGTAGGGTCTCCCTACTTGTGCCACGAAGGAGGAGTGGGGAAGCTGGGTCTTACCTTAAGCACTTGTGGGAGGACAGGGAGGGGCTCACCTCACACACATGGTGGGGACAGGGAGAGTGGTCCTCACCTCATGCACATGGTGGGGACAAGGAGGGTGGGCCTCACCTCACACACATGTCTGCCTCATACTTCTTCCCATAGAGGATCCCCAGCAGGGATGGGTTCTTGTTTCCTCTGAAGTTCAGGGTTACATCATAGACAGCTGCAACTGTGAGGAAACATGAGGACAATGATCACACCTGGGGAGGATGGGCACTACCAGACAGGACAGCAAGCTCCATTTAGAACCTGGCCCATCTCAGGTAGAACAAGATATATATTTTTTTTTTTTTGTAGGGACAAGGTCTCACTATGCTGTCCAAGGAGGGGGGGGGTTACAGGCCTGTCAAAGCTGATCTCAAACTTCGGGCCTCAAGAGATCCTCCCACCTTGGCCTCCCAAAGTGCTGGGATTACAGGCATGAGTCACCACACCAGGCTCCACATGAGGATTCATATGTGGAATTTTTTCTCTTTTCCCCCAGTTCTCATCTTTTAACTAGGGTGTTTACTTGGTTTACATTTCCTGTATTTATCGATGTGTGTCTCATCAACTATCTGGCTGTTTTCTATTTGTTCTATATGTTCTTTGTCCCTTTCTTTATCTTGACTCCTTTCAGATTAATTAGATATATGTACTAGTATTCTTCCCTTTACAAGGTTTTCTGTGATATATTTATTATTATTTTAATTATTTCTCATTAACTAGCATTTTGTTGCCTCAGAAAATGATGCATCTTAAGACATGCCAATGCCACTCTTTCGAGTCTATGCTTTGGTGTCCTTTGCATTCCATTTACTGCACTTATTTTATTTTTTTTCAAATCATCATTTTCTGTTTCCATTTCGCAAGGATGCCAGGGGACAGTGGCATGCCTGGCTCCGTGGCTGCGGGCTCCTACCTGTCCCCCGGAGGCACTGGACCGCGGTGGTAAAGCCCTTGGTCCGCGGCAGCAGGTGGTACTTGAGGACAGGTAGCCCCTTGGCGGCGGCCACCTCCATACTGACGCGGTGCTTGGTCTCTGTGAAGCGTGTGCCCTCGCAGTACAGGAGGAACTAGGATGAGAACGTGGGGACAGGGGGTCACTCCAGGTGCGCACAGCCGGTCTCGCAACCAGCATGGGGCATAACCTGAAAGGCTATCTCATTTGAGGGCTGCAACCAGCACTCCGGTCACACACATGCACCACATGGGACAGCTCTCTGGAAAGAACTTTCCAGAAAGAAGTGAAACACGAGATGTCCCAGGCAGCAACCTCTGACCAGAGTGTGGAAAGAAGAAAATCTTTTATCCGTTCACCACAACATGAGTGAGAAATGCTAATGAAATAAGCAGCCAATCTCCCGAGAACTACTGCCATAGGCCAGAAAGAAGGACTAGAAAAAGGAACACAGACACAGATGGAGCAGGAGTGGGCAGAGCCCAGGCTGCTGGGAGCACCCACCCTGTCCCACCCCAGCCCCTTAGGATGGATGTAGTCAGAGCCGGACTGGCAGGGCACAGGTGGTCCAGGAGGATCATCTATCCCTGCAGGTGGGCATGGTGGGGGTCCCTTTTGGAAGCAGTGGTCCGAGAGGGTCTATGGACCTCACAGCTGACCCTCTAGGCTGCATGTTTGTCAGAGGCATGAGTGGTGTCCACATTCCACCCAATGTCCTTCTCGGACTCTCAGGGCTCTGATGCCACCTGGCCATGGTGCAGGCACCTGACATACTCACCCACATGTACTCGGGGTAGTCGGACAGGCGCTTCAGACCTTCGATGACAGTGTCCCGGTCCTCCTCCCACTTCCGCTTGCAGAACACAATCTCCAGGAAGTACCACGTCCACCCGATGAGGGGCACGTAGAGCAGCTCCTTCTTGGCGAGGACTTTGGAACTCTAGGTGGGAGAAGTGGAGGGCCACAGGCCTGTCAGTCAGCCTAAGGAAAACCCAGAACTCCAGACTTGGGGAGCCTCTTTAGCACCTCCACCAAGACCCCCGCTGCTCCCTCAGCTTCACCCTTGGGACCCCTGCTGTTCCTCACCAGTCCTTTCCCTGGACCCTTCCTGCTGCCTCCACCCCCCGGCCCTCCCCTGGGACCCCCCATCCTCACCCTCAGCACCTCCCCTGGGACCCCCACTGCTCACCCCCAGCACGCCGAACCGCTCACACATGGTCCATCCACAGAGGAAGTCGATTTCGAAGTTGTGGTTGAGGAATGATGACCACATGCTCCTTCCCAAAGCGGTCCACTGTGGCCTGGTCCGTAAACAGGGTGCACTCGGTGCAGGACCACCACTCCAGAAGCATGACCAACTCTATGGGCAGAGGGAGGGGATCAGCACCAGTGTGTACCTGCCTTCCTCAAAGGATGACCGCCAGCACCTCCAAGGGCTCTCCAGCATGCCAGGAGCACCCACAGGGGACACTTACAGGATTTTCACCTAGAGTGGAATTTTCTGCTAGAAATGAGTTTTGATGACTTATATTTTAATAAGCTTTCCCAAATTACAATGACCTTCTCTAAGCAACAGGAGGAGGAGAAGACAAATGGAAAGTAGGAGAAACGTGGGAGGAGAGCTATGACTTATAGGACATGCTCATCTCTCTGTGCAATTACCATTCTTACTGCACTGTGGTTGGATGACGTGTGTACAGCCACTAGCAAGGCTGAGATGCCTGGGAAGGTGGGAGCATTTACTACACAGTCGGGAAGCAGGATGCACGTCCACAGGATTAAAGGTGAAAAACACGCAAACAGCTAATAGCGTAATGGAATACTGGGATATCTTCTACAACTGCCTTTGGTGTTACACTGTTTTTCCATATTTAAAAACAAAAAAGCAGTGTGAAAAGTAACCCCTTGCCTACCCCCGGGGAGGCCTGGGGTGGGGTGGGGGAGGCAAGACCCAGTTTGTTCACCGCTGGGGAGGCCTGAGGCCCAAAGGGCCCCACAGAGACAGCAGGGTGCACTGCCATGAGCACACAGGTGCCAGCAAGTCAGGGATATGATCCCCACTGTAGAGCACTGTGTCTCCACCTCTTGGCCGATTTCAGAAGCTACTCATCCAGTCTCTCCCACAGCTCCAGGCCCAGGGGCTGAGGAGTGTCTCCCAGGAGCATGGGTGGTCACTGCAGCAGAGAGCTCTGTCTGCACAAGCTAGAAGTCCACATGCCTGTGGGGGCTTTGGGGACAGACTGGGAATGTGGTATCATCTGTCTCCTTGTGGGGAGTTTAAGGGATGCACACACGTTCATGAGAACTTTAGGTCTGGAAGTTTCCGTGGTAACAATTCTGCATGTCTTTGTCATGCAAGAGAACCGAATGTGAGTCCCTTTCAGAAGGCTGCATGGGGTAGGGGCAGGAAGGAAGCCGAGCGGCAGGGTTTCACCTATAGAGTGGGGAGTTGACAGGTGGGTATGTGCATGTGCAGCTAGCCCTGGGACCCATGTGCCAGCAGCCGGAGTCATGCCTACTATGGCCAGTGGTCCTGAAAGGGTGACCTTGCAGGACCAGGTCAAGGTTTTCAGTCTCAGGACAGCCCTATGCTTCTGTTCTGGACACCAACCTGCCTGCTTCCCAGAGGACTACTCCAGAGGCCTGCTGAGAACTAGCCCTTGGGACCAGAGGCCAGGGAACACTGACCGGCTCCAAGTGTCTGGGCTCACAGAGTTCAGGGCTCAGGCAAACTGCTGGCACTGGCCTAGTTTCCCCATTTATAAACAGGGAATAATAGTGTCTTCCTCATAGGTTCCTTGGAGAACTCAGTGAAACACAGCACATGAAGTTAACCCCAAGAATGGGGGACACAGCTGGTTTCCCCTTCCAGACAATTGTCTCCCTGGACCCAGGAGGACGGGGGTACACGTGCTTGGTTCCCAACATGCACATATGAACATGCTGCCAGTTGTTTGGCCTCTGAGGTCTAAACTTTCTCCTGTACTCAAGGCCCGGATTGGACAGGTTTTGGGTCTTGGATGACATCTGAACCAGCAATGGTCCTGTCTACCTGAGGGGCAATCAGAGGAGGAGGGCATGAAGTGTCATCCAAGGACAAGGTCACAGAAGCACCATGGGGAGGACAGGGGACCTGAGCAGACAGGGTCCGTGTCAACAGAAAAGGCCACTTATCAGAGGCAGACAATACATAAAATGAGCCTGTTAGCCATGGTTGTGTTAATCTGGCATTCAAATTCAATGACTGCAAGAAGGAATAAAAAGATAAAATAACCCATTTAAAAATGGATGAAGGATCTGAGTAGGCATTTCTCCAAAGAGTATTTATAAATGGGCACTAAGTGCATGAAAAGATGCTTAATGTCATCAGGGAAATGCAAATAAAAGCAACAATGAGACAGTCCCTCACACTCATGGAATAGCTTTATCAAAAAGACCAGTGATGGCAAGTGTCGGTGAGGGTATGGGTCAGTTGGACCTCTCAGCACTCCTGGTGGGAACATTAAATGGTGCAGCTGCTTTGAAAACAGCTGTGAGGTTTTCCAGACACCAAGTTACTGCAGAACCCAGCAACGCCACCCCTAGATATGTTCCCAAGAAAACTGGAAACACGTCCACACAGACTTGTACATGCACAGCAGAATTATTCATAACAGTCCAAATATCTATCATTTGACTGAATAGACTATATATATCCACACAGTTAAGGATTTTTCAGTCATAACAAGTAATGAGGTACAGACACATGCCACAGCATGAATGAACTTGTAAACATCATGCTCAGTGACAGAAGCCAGTCATCAAAGGTCACATGTTGTATGATCATTTATATGAAATGTCCAGAATAGACCAATCCATAGGGACAAAAAGCAAATGAGTGGTTTCCAGGGCTGGAGAGAAGGTGGATGAAGGAGTGACTCCTTCATGGGTCTGAGGTTTATTTTTGGGGTGAAAACGTTCTAACATTAGACTGATGTGATGGTTGCATAACAGAACTAGAACTCTGAACTGTATTTTTCATGGGTGAATTCTGGCTGGTCACTGTGGCGCACACCTGTAATCCTAGCACTTTGGGAGGCAGAGGCGAGAGGATTGCATAAGCTCTGGAGTTTGAGACCAGCCTGGGCAACATGGCGAGAATTCGTCTCTACAATAAATGAAAAAAAAAAAATTAGCCAGATAGTCCTGATACTTGGAAGGCTGAGGTGTAAAGATTGCCTGAACCTAGCAGGTGGAGGATACAGTGGCCGTGATCGTACTACTGCATTTCAGCCTGAGCAACAGAGTGAGATTACAACTCAAAAAAAAAGGGGGGCGATTTTAACTCAGTAAAGTTTTAAGGAAAAAAAAAAAACAAGCCAAGGGAGGGCATGGCCTGCTCATCAGTGGAGGGCACCCTTTGCTGACCAGGTCTTCTCACACCCTCCTCCCAAAAGGGCCCATCTGAGACGGACAGACACGAAGTCTGGAGATGGTCTCTGTTCTTATTCCTTTCTCCAGCTAATTCTTATCCCCTGATAGAGGTGGCCCTGTAGCAGGTCTCCCATGTGTGAACTGGCCAAGCAAGAGATCACAGTTGAGAGGAGCGACTTTGAAAAAAACGTGGTAAGAAAATTTAACACAAGATCTGCTCTCTCAATACTTTTTTTTTTTTTAATGTAGAGACAGGATCTCACTATATTGTCCAGGCTGAACTCAACTCCTGGCCTCAAGTGATCCTCCTGTCTCAGCCTCCCAAGTAGATGGGATTACAGGCATGAGCCACTGCATCCAGCTTCAATGCATTTTTAAGTGCATAGTACAGTCCTGTTAACTACAGGCATGGTGTTATATGGCAGAGCTCTAAAACTTCATCTTGTATAGCTAAAATTTTATTCCTGCTGAATAACAACCCCTTGTTTCTCTCTCCTCCCTAGCTCCCGGCAACTGCATTCTACTCTCTGCTTCGATGAGTGACTATTTTGGATTCCTCATGTAAGTGGAATCAGGTAGTATTTGTCCTTCTGTGTCGAGCTTATTTCACTGAGTATAATGTCCTTAAGGTTCATCTGTGTCATCCCCATGTCCGAATTACCTTCCTTTTAAAGTCTTTATAATATTCCATTGTGGTGTATGTGTGTGTGTGTATGCACACACATCTTTTCTTTATCCTTTCTTTATCCACCCATCTGCCAACGGACATAGAGTGAGTGTCCACATCTCGGCTGTTGTGAGTTCCGCTGCAGTGAGCATGGGCATGCAGAAATCTTCTCAATAGCGAAGTTTTACAATCCTTGCCTATCTTCATATTGAGGAGGGTCAACATGATTCAACCTTCTGATTTGCACACCACCAGGGCAGTGAGTGCAGTACATGGACAGGATCCTGGGCTGGGAAACCCAGGGCCTGGGCCTGCCCTCTGGCCTCTTTGTCAGCTGAACAGCCCTCACTGTAAGACTGGGTAGACCCTACCCCCACACAGTGCTGCTGGGATCCAGAGGCTACTGCATCAGGGGCTCAGGAAGGTGTCATGGGTGCTCAGTCACTGTTTCAACAGGGGTGGACACACAGGGAAAGCCACCGATGAAGGGAGGGATGGCAGAAGTGTAACTGCTATAAGCCATCTCTGAATCTTTTAAAAGATGCTTTTCAATGCTTCACTGAAGTCTAATGACACAGGCCTCACTCATGTTGGTACCTCCCCGAGTGTCCCCTCTCTCTCCACAACTGCCTTCCAAGTGACTTACAAATCACACTGCTGGCAACCATGACTCATCTGCTGTGAGCAGACAGACTCATGTTTCGTCTGCATGAAGTATATCCTCCATGAAGCATGTGCTGTCTGCATGACTGTGACCCAGGGCCTCTTTTCCACCAATTATATATAAAGGACACTAGCGATACATTTCCCACAACATCGTGTACAGGTGAATGGGGCCACTGCATCTGATCACGCATCTCAGCCCACGCAGTTGGAGATGCCTGCAGGCGGTGTGTAGGGCTAGGGGGGCTGACTGCCGGGCTGTCACGACACTGGGTGGAAGCACAGGTGAGCAGAAAGGACACAGGGGAAGAGAGGGAATTCAAAGACTGTGTTGGGCCCTGGGGGACCACACTGCCTCTCAAAGGGAAAGCTGCCTGTGAGCAGATGGCAGCAGGGCAGACAGAAGTCCTGTGTCTGGGCAGGAGAAGAGCTGATAATACCCATGGCAGGCCTAGCTAGCAGGCCGCTCCTCACCAGGGACTCCCCATGGTGAGTGCTCGGGACTGCCGCCCTTATGGCCAAGCCTGGAGAGGGCTGGAAAGGGAGGATGAGATGCAGCCCATATTACTCCCTGTAATATTCTAGAAGGGCAAGCTGTGCGGTCTGGAGAGGACCTCTCTGAAGGTCACCCATGGCACTCCCCGGAAAGGCAGCCCTCTTCCTAAGCTATCAGCATGAGGGTGGCCTTCCTCAGCAGATCACAGGATGCATCGGTCTGTGGTAGATACCATGGACAGTGCCAGGGCCTGCATCTATAAACTGACTCATGGGTGGTAGCTCCTGAGTTTGACATGAGTTTCCTCTCATCATTTCCTTCATTCAAATACATGCTTCCCAAACAAAGTCATTATTTGCCCATTTCAACCACTGATGTTTAAAAATTCAGAATTTGCCTAATAATACCAAGAATTTGTTGAGCATTGCAATGTGCCTACTCCACACATTGATTTAGTCTTTATAATAGGGCGCCAAGGTAGGCGATTTTACCTCTGTTATACATAGAGAGAAAGCCAAGGTTTAGAGAGACTAAAACCCGCTTGAGGTCAGCCAGGAGCGAGGAAGTTGGGCTGGGCTATTTGGCTCCAAACCCACCTTTGCCACAGCAGCTGCAGCTCTGAGGATCAGATGGCAACAGACACAAATGATGAGTTCAAAATGGCAGCAAGAAGGCACCAGGCATTGAGGAACAAGAACAGGAACAGAGAATTGACAGGAAACAGAGGGTTATTAAAAAATAATGTGAGCCGGGCATGGTGGCTCATGTCTATAATCCCAGCACTTTGGGAGGCCAAGGTGGGACGATTGCTTGGGCCCAGGAGTTCAAGACTAGCCTGGACAACATAGTAAGACCTCGACTCTACAAAAAAATTTAAAAATTAGCCAGGTATGGTGGTGCAGCCTATAGTTCCAGCTACTCAGGAGGCTGAGGCAGGAGGATCACCTAAGCCCAGAAAGTCAAGGTAGCAGTGAGCTGTGATTGTGCCATTACACTCCAGCCTGGGTGTCAGAGTGAGACTCTGTCTCAAAAAAATAACAAATGAAAAAATAAAGTGAATCCTCTTCTCACCACATGCCTGCTGAACTGGAAGAGACTTCCACATGGCTCTGATCAGAGAAGGGCTCTAATAATGTGTGCATGGAAATAAGCCTAAGTGGAGAACCTCCAAATGTAATAAGTCACATGAAGATTCAGCCATGAGAGTTTAGCACACAGGAGAGGTTGGAGCTTCCCTTGTGCATCTGCCTTTATTCCAGACATTTGGGAATTTTATATTAATCTTAACTTCTACCTCAATATTTCTCATTTTATGATTTTTTTCATACTTTCTTGTCTTTTTTTAAAAAGAGATTTGCCTTTTCTTGATTTACCTTCATCTAATACTTTGGAAGTTATTTTTCTCTTTTTTCATGCCCTATGCTTAATAAAGTCTATAGCTAAGATCTGAACTCTTCTTGATAAACACAAGAATAAACTCCCCAACTTTGATGACCCCCATTCCTGATACACAGGCTCTTGCTGTTGCAGTATTTTAGGCCAGTCTTTCTTCAACCTCACAACTTGAACATCATTTTTTTTTTTAATGAGTGTTTAGATTTACCTTTCTACCAATTTCTTTGGATATCATTCATTTGTTTCTTTAGGAAATGAGATCTTGCTGTGTTGCCCAGGTTAGTCTTGAACTCCTGGGCTCAAGCAATTCTTTCCTCTCAGCCTTCTGAGGTGCTGGGATTACAGATGTGAGCCACCACATCTGGCCTGAATACCATTCTTTCTTGGAACTCATACCTTACTTTCATGATAATTTTTGTTCTTACTAAAGTGTATTATTTAAGTAAAAATTAAGTGAAAATCTATGGGCAGTAAATGATCTCTTTTTTTATTTACCTAAAACTTTTAGATTTCATTCTTATTCTTGAAAGATCATTTTGCTGAACATAGAATTCTTTGACTATTCTCTTTCAGTAGGTTGAGGATTTTCCACCATCTTCCGCCTCCAATGATAGCTGTGGGAAGTCTGCTGTGAGTCTCTCTGTCAGTCCTTTGAAGGCTCTCTGGTTTCCTTCTCTGGGTATTTGAGACTTCTTTTTGTCTTTGACAGTTTGTGACTTCACTAGGACATGTCTAGATGTGAATTTCTGCTTATTTGCCTTGCTTGGTATACATTTGTTTTCTATATTTGCAGAATCATGTTCTTCATTAGTTCAGGAAAGTTCTCAGCCATTGTCTCTTCTGACGTTGCTTCTCTTATTCTCTCCTTTTGGGACATGGACCCAAGACCTATTTTATGGACCTTCTCATACTATCTTTATGTTTTTTTATTCCTGTTTCACATTTATTTTTGTCTCTGTGTCAGTTATTACTGTATTCCAGATGATTTCTTCACATTTATGTTCAGTCTACCCATTCTCTTATTAACTATGCTATAAATTCATAAACTGATATAAATTCATTAGGTTTTTACTTTTAAAATTCCATGGTTTTCACTCATAGAGGGCTTTACTTGGTTCTTTTTCAAATCTGGTCACTTTCAGTCATCTTTTGTCTAGCTCTGTTGTTTATGCTGTTGTTCTTGATAATGAGTTCATATTTAATTTTTCTGTGGAAAGCTTCAGGCCTAAATTAGAGAGACTTTCCCCTGAACATATTTCTGTGTGCCTCTACTGAAACCCAATGGTTGTTGCTAACTTAGCCTGAGTCAAGCCATCTCTCAAGAATCCTGGTTTAGAGTCAGTTCTCTCTCTCATGGTTGGCCAAAGTTTAGGTTCCTGAAAGGCAATGTTGATATTCTGTTTCAACACTCCAACGTTTTTAGCTAAGGGGATTGGAGAGAGGTGACTGAGATGTGTTTTCTTTTTCTTTTTTTTCCTACTGTAAACCCAGAAATACATTTAAAAGTTAGTCTTATCCAGGATTTAGCTATTTTGAAATGTTTTAACTTCAGAATACTGCTGGCAACAGGAGGCTACAATTTAGTTTTCATTAATTTTTACCCTTTTTGTATGTATTCATTTTACCCAGTTATACCAGCTATACTGATGAATAAATCATTTGTATATTTTATATTATGGGATTTTAAGTTATTCCTTCCCACAAAAAAAATAGCAGCAGCCTTTTGTTAAAACAAACAAACTGAGAACTGAAGCTCTAACATGGTTAGGTCCAGCTAAGCCTAAGGGCTGGACTACTGGCCTCCTTATAGACAGTGAGAGGCCCAGGCATGCAGACTTGGTCAATACAAGCATCCTCTGTAGCACAGCTGCCTGCTCCTGACTGGGAGGAGATGATGAAGATGGGGTCTACAGGCTCCTCTTGTCCCATGTGAAATAAAATGTGTGTGTTGTCATGCCAAGAAATACAACTAGCACAACAGTGTGAAGTAAACACGAAAGTTCCCTCCTTTCTCCACTCCCTGGACATGAGCATCACTCAAGTGACTTGTGTATCCTTCCAGGATTTTGCTATGCATGCACATACCACACATGACATCGTTTTTTTGTAAAAGCAAAACAAAAGTAGCAGCATACTGTGTACTTTGTTATACACTTTACTTTTTCACTTAAAAAAGTATTTTTTTTTGTTTGTTTGTTTGAGTTGGAGTCTCACTTTGTCGCCCAGACTGGAGTGCAGTGGCCGCTTCTAGCCACTGCAGCCTCGCCTGCTGGGTTCCGGCGATCCTTCCACCTCAGCCTTTCAAGTAGCCAGAATTACAGGCATGCGCTACCACGCCTGGCTGATTTTTTGATTTATTGTAGAGATGAGGTCTCGCTGCCCAGGCGGGTCTCGAACCTGCGGGCTCAGGCAATCCACTCACCTCAGCCTCCCAAAGGCGCGGGATTACAGGCTGAGCCACCGAGCCCGGCTTAAAAAAGTATTTTAAGATAAAGAGGGGTGGCCCTTATTATTCTTGATGGCTGCACAGGATCCCACTGAATGGACATACCACAATTACCGTTCATTAGTGAACACTCAGGCTGCTGCCAGTTTTGTGCAAATATGAAAATGATAAAATGAGACTATCTGCCCAGATATGTGCTTGTGTGGATTCCTCTCTAGACTATGTCTTATTTTGTGGAATAGCTGAGTAAACAATTACAACCATTTAAATTGCTGACAGCTACGGACAAATGGCCCTCCAGAGATGTAACTGCTCACACTCCCACCGAGCCCATAGTGAGTAGCTACCTCTGTCCACAGCAGGTGTTGATATCAAGCGCTTAAGTCTCTGTTCACATTTTGTTTTTCTGTGTATAAATATATACACACAAGCACATACAAACACAGCTGTACATGTGTATCTCGTTCTGAGGTAGGTAAGAGCCCTTTTCCCTTAGAGATACACACTGCAGTGTTTGCTTCAGATGCTCTGGCACTGGGATGGTTGTGTGTACAGAACACACAAGGCTGGCCTATGGTGGGAACTGTTGAGGCTTGGAATGGGCAAACTGAATTTATCATTCTCCTTCCTTTTGTTTGTCTAAAATACCCCCAAGTACCACATTAAATCTCATGAAATGGCCATTTCTAAAGGTCACCATGGTCAAATGCTGGAGCACTCCTGGTTTAGCCTCGTAGGAAGGTTTGGGCTGAGCAACTCTTCCCACATCTGTTAGCCAGGCATGAACTTCTAGAAGCTCTGGGTAGTCCCCACCAACCACCACGCTGGGAATGGGGTGGGGGCAGGCCTTCACATCACATGCACACCCTCCCCCACAAGGGGTTCTCAGGGCGGGAACCCAGACTGGTTTTGCTTGGCAGTTGGCACCTCCCACCCTGACCTGGGAAGACACTCACGGCTCCAGAGTGAGTAGGCGAGGCGGCAGTTCAGCCGGCGGTACAGCTGCTTGTTGATGGGCCACAGGGCCAGCGTGCATAGCTGGGTGAAGTTGATGACCAGCCCGCTCACCACGAAGACAAACCCAATGAGCAGGTGCACCACGAACTGCGTCTTCAGGAAGGAGAGCAGGCCCATGGCCGCTGCTCAGGAGCGGGTGCAAGGCCCTTCACTGAGAACAGCCGTCCTGCCAAGGACAGAGGACAGTGGTCAGCATGTGCTGGTCCAGGAGACCAGGGGTTGCAGCCCGGGGAAAGCCCTGATCCTCAGTCAGTTCCCCAGGGCTGCCACAATGGGAGGAGCTCATTCACGCTTCGCGCCAGTGCCTGCTCCTTCTGGAACACAGGACCAGGGGTCTGACAGTCATGCACCATCCATCCATGTACCTCATGTACCCCATGCACCACACTCAGGCATCACACTTCACACCACACTAATGAATTACACCTCACACCACTCACCATACTCAGCAAAGTACCTCACACCACAGGCCACACTCACCATTACACCTCACACCACATACTACACTCACACATCACACTACACACCACACCTCACACTACACACACCTCACACCACATATCACACTCAGCATCACACCACACTCAGCATCACACCACATGCCACACTCACTAATCACACCACACACCACACTCAGGCATCACACCTCAAACTACACACCACACTTAGCATCACAGCATACATTACACTCACACATCACACGACACTTGTGCATCACACCACACTCAGGCATCACACCACAGACACACCACGTTCAGCATCACACCACACATCACACACCACACTTGGGCATCACAGAACACACCACATACTTACTATACACGCACATCACACCACACACCACATGTGACATTCATGCATCACACCACACCCATGCATCATACCACATGGTACACTCATGCATCATACCACACCACACTTGTGCATCACAGCACATAGCAAACACCATACCACACACCACATTCATGCATCACAGCACATACCACCACATACTCGCACATCACACCACACACCACACACCAAACTCATGTATCACATACACCACATAACACTCTCATGCCTTGCACCACACACACAACACACACTCATATACACCACATATCACTCTCAGGCATTGTACCACACACACTCATGCACTGTACCACACACACACCATACATCATACCATATACACACTATACCACACATACCACACCACACTCACACACACCACATATCACACTCATACATCACACCACATAAACCATACTCTCCCATATTGTACACACCACACATACCACATTCCATATACATATACCATCTATACCACCCCTCCACATCATACACACTCACACAAACCACACACACCACACATACCAGACACACAAACATGCCACACTTCCACATAATCTCCCATGCAAACAAGAAAGAAAAAAAGAAAGAAAAGATTGGAAGGAATGCACCCAAATATTAATAGTGATTATCTCTAGGTAAAGGCATTATGAGTAATTTTAATTTATTTAGTATCTCATTTAAATGATCAGAATTGCACACAAAATCTACATAAAAACAGATCCACAGTATCTTATTAATTCTTCCACTTGGGAATTAGTGCTCTTTGCTTCCCAAGCGGTTGCACATATTTTAAGCTGAAAGACTTCTGTTTTGGTTTCCAGCACAGGAGTGACTCCCCAGGAGCCCCACTGCCCTCGTCCTCACATGCAAGGGGAGGGGCAGCCTGCACTGCTTGGTTGTATTGTTCCTGAGTGGCTCTGTGATTCCCCATGTGATGCCACAACTCAAACCCTGGCAAAATTAGGACCAGCACCACTGTCAACCCCCACCTGGTTCTGGACAGGGATGGGTTCTGACATGGCTCCAGCAGCGACTCTGCACTTCCCAGGTGGCCCCTGCTTTGTGACTGCCACTGCTGCCATTCTGTGATTGGAGAAGGACTAGTGACGCTCATTCCGCCCACCTGGAGGAAACTGGCCACTCCCCACCCCACAGAATGCCCCCTACACACAGGCTCCTGCTCTCCACCTCCAGGGACTTGCAGAGCACTTCCTCCCACTGCCTTCAGGGCCCATGAGGTCAGCGTGGCTCCCACCATCCCAACGATCTCAGACCTGTGTGTGCAAGAAGGTGCCTCTCCCTAGATCCCAGGCCCTCTCCACCACATGGCCCACAGCTCTGCTTCTACCACACAAGCTCTGGTCATGGTTTGGAATTTGTCTGCAAATGTGTCCACTCCTTCCTTTAAAAGGCAAAGCCCGACTCTCATCCCTTCTGATGTAGCCTGGTCTTGGCAATCATCCTACCCAACAGAGTCACAGAAGTGATGTCACATGATCTCCAAGGCTGCTCAAGGAAAGACAGCTTCTGCCTGGCTCTGCTGTGGGAATAGCCACTCTGGGGAAGCTAGCCACCACATCCCCAGGACAGTAGGCCCTATCTATGTGAAAGGAGCCCAGGCCATGCGCCACATGGGGGAGCCACCCTGGAGGCAGACCCTTCTGCCCCAGGCAGACTTTCAGATGACCACAGTCTTGGTCACCAGCTTCCTGCAAGCTCACAAGCCACCCAGGCCACCCAGCCCAGTTGAATTGCTGATTCCAGAAACTGTGGGGATAATACATGTTTATTGTTGTTTTATGCCACTATGTTTTCAGTGAGCTTGTTAAGCAGCAACAGAAAATTACTATGAGACTCCAAACATGAAGGACAGATAATACAACAGGGACAACAAAAATGCTTCCTAGGTGTGAAACTACACACCAGGGTCTGTTCTGAACACTCCATGCACTGACTCATCAAACTCTCTCAGGACCCCAGAGTGGACACTATTACTACCCCAACTGACAGGTGAGCAAACTGAAGCACGGAGAGGTTCAGTGACTTGTTCAGGGTCACACAGTGAGTTGGCAGTAGAGCCAGATGCCAGCCCAAGGCAGTGAGACTGGAATGTCTGTGCTCATATCCCAACACCCTGCAGCCTTCCTGGCATGGGCAGGGGTTCCCCAGAACAGAGTCCCCAGCATGTCAAGCAGGTCAGGCTCAATATCTCAGGACTTCTTTCCTGCACTAAAGATAGCGTGCATGACCAGACCTTAGTTGCATGAGGGTGGGTCTGCTCCACAGTCTGTCACCTGGCCTCCATCTAGCATATAGTGGGCTCTCAGACCCAACAGCCCCAGGAGACCAGGGTGGGCACAGGCCTCTCCACTCAGGCCTAGAATGGTCTGGGTCCCCAAGGGTCAGCTCACAGACTGGCACATCAGCTGTGAAACTTTCAAGAGCAGATTCCCACGCCAGACCTGCAGACCCCATCACCAAGGCATGGGGTAGAGAATCTCATTTTTGAAAATCAACTTCATCAAAGTGTAATTCACAGGCAATTAAGAAGTGCTCGCAGTGTGAAAGTGTGCAATATGATGAATGTGTCAAGCCAAGACAATGTGAAGCCCCCACAACAGGGACCGTTTCCAGCCCTGTTGATCCCATCTGGCCCCTGGCACACCATGCAGCTTCTGACACTATAGATTCACTTGTCTTTCTATAGGTTCATATAAGTGGGATCATGTGGCATAGGGCTCAGCTGGCCCAGCACCTCTGAGACTCGGCCCTCTGTGGCACGCTGGGAGACATCCTCTGCAGCTTTGTGGATGCTCCATTGTGAGTCATCCATCCACTGGGGGCATAGAGGTACGTCCAGCCTCTGGGATCGTGAACAAAGCCTCTATGCATGTTCTCAGTGTGCAGACAGCTTTCATCAAGAATCCATGTGAATTCTATAAAGCAGCCAGTCCCTGCATCTCTAGACTAGAAAGTATACACAGAGTCCTCCTGAGAGTCCACACCTACCCCAGCACACACTGCTTATGGCCTGGTGCTGCACGCCACTTATGCCCACCTGCGACTCCTGGTCTCTGGTCCAGTTCCACTCCAAGGCCAAAGCCTCTGGGGCTCAGGAGCTTTCACAAACTGGATGGAGTCATGAGATGCTCTCTAGATGGGCTGGCTCTGCCCCTTGAGCTCAGTTCCAGCTGCAGAAACACCGCCCTGCTCCATGGCCCAAGGTCATTACCTGCACCGTCCACCCAAAGCCACCTAGACAATGTCCTGCACTGTCTACCCATCTCCCTGGCCAGCTGTTGACATTTTTCCTGCTGTTGGCCACAAGCCAGGATTATCAGCCTCTCCCTCCTGGAAGTCCCAGACACAGGGTCAAAACACATGACTGCATCTCTTACTCTGGACCAGTCCCCGCCCTAAGGAATACCTGCTGTTTACTTCATTTCAGCTGGCAGCACCTGGAGTCCTCCTGCCTACTCACCCCAACAAGGGCAGACAAGCAGGCCCTTTCCTTAGGCTATCACCACATCTCTGATCTGCTTGGAGAGTTCCCTAGGTGCCCTTGCCACCCTCTATGCCTAACCCGCCCTGAGCTCCTTAATAAATTGTCCCACATCAATTGGCCACAAAGATGCCCAACAGCAGTGGGTAGAGGCACCTCTCTTCCCAGAAAGGTGACAAAGAGACAGGTGCCCTGCTCCCTGCTCAGGAGTCCTTAAGGCTGTCAGAGCAGGAAAGTGCTAGGAAGGTACCTGGACCCAGTTGCCCCCAAAACATCTGCTCATGTACCCTTTAAGGCCTTTTTAGGAAATTATGTATCCTTGGACAATGTTAAACTGACTTCTACTTTTTTTTAGGGAGGAGGTCGAGGTCTCTGTCGCCCAAGCCGAAGTCCAGTGGCATGACCACAGCTCACCACAGCCCTGACTACCTGGGCTCAGGCTATTCTTCTGCCTCAGTCTCCTCCTGATTAGCTAGGAAGGTGCCTGGACCCAGTTGCCCCCAAAACATCTGCTCATGTACCCTTTAAGGCCCTCACACTTTGGGAGGCCAAGGCAGGAGGACTGCTTGAGCCCAAGGTTTGAGACCAGCCTAGACAACATAGTGAGAACTTGTCTGTACAAAAATAAAAATTAAATAAGCCAGGTGTGGTGGCGTGCACCGATAGTCCCAGCTAATCAGGAGGAGACTGAGGCAGAAGAATAGCCTGAGCCCAGGTAGTCAGGGCTGTGGTGAGCTGTGGTCATGCCACTGGACTTCGGCTTGGGTGACAGAGTGAGACCTCGACCTCCCCCCTAAAAAAAAGTAGAAGTCAGTTTAACATTGTCCAAG